GTACAACTCACAGTGCCTTGTAATCTTGCACAAAACATTAAGCAATCATAGCTGCTGTGTAACAAAATTAATTATTCAAATGAAGAAGCCCAGTAATGAACTAATCGTTGTGTCTACGGATCTGTAAAGTCACAGTGGGCTTCACAGTTAAAGAAATAAACTCCTGAGCACGAGCCTTTAAACACTCCCCAAATCCCCAGCTCAGGACTCCCAGTTACGCGCCTAGCCTCCTGCATGCATTCTGCTCATGGCCGCCTGGAAATCGGTGTTTTTAAATACTTCTCAGATGATTCTGATGCCCAGCCAGGTTTGGGAATCAGGGATACAGACAACTCTGCTGAGCTAGTTCTGAGTCATTCAGGTGGATGTATCATCACCCCAAGAGTGAAGTCTGATACTCGTTGTCTTTTTTCCTGTCTGCCTCCTCTATGACACGGACCTTTTGTTAAATCTCTGGGTCTACTGTTAAATTGATATCTGTGTTAATTAAAGTAGAAAGTAGGATCTGGCTGGTTTCCTGTATATTAAATGCACCTGAAGGCTGTGCTGGGTGGTTTTTCTATTCTCGTTATTTCATCATTTCACACTGGGGGCTGCTAGTCAATCCAGTTCCAGGAGATGTGGCCGGGAGAAACGTGTGCTTCGTGCCTCGCTGAGCCATTTATGTTGATTTAATGAGACAGGCAGCAGTATTCAGGTGTGCTTCGGGATGCTAAGGCAGGCAGGCTGAATTTACATACTTATGAGACAAAACTGTTTGAACTTAAGTGCGCGCACGCACGCACACACACACACAGAAATTATGTCACTGTGGTGTTTTCCTTTAAATGCTTTGCATGAACAATATTTTCCAAGGTTGCATTACTGATAAACACAAGAACTACATCTGGAGGAAATCCTTTGAAATTAGACTAAATCCACATTAATGCCAAGTAAGTAACGAGCGCTGAGAGGTACCGAATAGGCGTCCTGGGAGCAACGGAGAAAAAAATTAGTTGTTCTTTCTTTTTCTCAGATAGGACAAGTAGTTAATTCCTTGCTTTCCGTGTGTCAAGGTTTGTTTGAACTGTGTGTGTGAGAGAGAGAATGTAATAAAACACAGTTAACAAAACCTAGGTCTTTAAATTGTTACTGCTTTGAAAATATATCACCATTCTCAACCTTTGGTTTGAATTCATTAAAAGCGGCGATGTCAAACACACAAACAGAAGATCGCAGCTCTAATTATTACGGAGACACAGGAGCAGGAAGGACAAGGAGTCATTGGTCCTTTTCTCATGTTCAGACAGATGGCATTTGTATTTCTTTTTTAAAACCTATCTGAGCTGATTTAATTTTCCACAGAGATGGTTTTAGGTGTATTTACTGGAACAGATCTTCAAAAATCTGATACTAAATTAATTATGCCTTACCAAGGCATATGAGGTATTTTGTTTTTGTCATTCAAAGAACTAGCTACTGTTCAGATGAAATATCCCCAGAGCCAATGAGATGCAAACTAAGCAGCCCTGCAGGAGGCATAGGGGAAGGAGGGCAGGCCTGAAAATGGGGACTGATTACGAAAATTCTATAAAGGCGTATTTTTTTGGCTGGGACCACTATATTGCCAGGCTCCCACCTAATTCTAAGAGGACAGGAGAGTTGGGTCCAGAAGCTGTCCTTCTTCCAAAGATGTCCACTGAGAGGGTGGGCTTTTCAATATTTGGCGGGGAACATAGTTTCCCAGTGAGATAGAAATGACATGAAAATGCAGCCCGGCCCTTGAACCAGGCATCCTTCTTGGTTACAGGCGCAGTTCTCGCTGGGCTTACATGTATCACTTCTTTGAGATACAAAAGATATGCTGAAGTAAATACAGCAACTGTCACAGCCACGCTGGTCTCTATTTCCAAATCGTGACAAACATTTTCGTTACAGCGATAACAGAGGCAGATTCCAGGGTATGCAATGTCTACAGAAACGGTTCATGAAAAAAAAAACCCTCTGCATTAATTTTGATTAGTAACACCCTAACTTCTTAGAGTTACAGAAGGCAAGTCATCACTGTATGTGAGATTTTCAGCTCACCCCACACAAGCTGGAGGGAACTGATATTAATGTGTGAAGTCTTTCAGAGGCTCAAGAAGTGCACTGCTGCCATGGCTTCCTTAAAGGGGTGCTGTTTTAATGGGTCAGTCACTATATAATCTTTCCCTCTCATTACATACCACATGGGAAGCCATGGGAAATAGGACAAAGATGATTTGGGATATTAAGGTGGTTAAACAAACCTGGGTAGAAGGTTCTGAACACATTCACTTAAGATAAAAATCCAGAAAGCAAGATTCCTTTCAGGAACAAAACTCAGAGGCTGAGACTGGGGAGTAAACGGCTGTGTTCAGAAAAGCTACACGTTATGTTTTAATCTTCCTGTGGGCCAGGAGAGTTATTCAACCATGGCTGATGATCTCTAGGGACCCCTGAGGGGCAGGGGGAGACGTGGCCTCTGCTGCCCACGACAGCTGTCACATACATCCTGTCAATAACATGTACCAACAAACTCAACTTTCAAGTCGGCTTCGTTTGACATCATAGGAGAGGGAAAGAATCACTGGAGGTAAATAGATTTCGACAAATAGGGCAAAAGGTATCTCTCCACTGGAAAACACTTTTCTAAAGCAAAGTTAAAGAGTTTAAAGAAATATCTCTTAATGATGAATACGCAGCAGGATATGTGTATTCAACCAGAGGGAGAATCTCACTTTCTCTTGCGTTGACTGAGATGGGTGCATTACCCACAGGAATGGGTAGTGGTTTGGGAAGCTGGGGTTAGACCCTCACTTCACGATTCCCACTGCAATTCATCTGTGAATGGTTGAGCTGTTGTGGAAGCTGGTGCAGTCAGCGGGAATGAAAATACGTTATATGTGAGTCACTGGAGAATAAACTCCTTGGGTGAATGTCTAACTCACGGTATGCGTACATCAGCACTGAGACGCTTATGCAAAGAAAATTCCAAACTGGTTCTGAGGGCTGACTTCCAAGGCGGCTGTGATGAACACTAGTCTGCAGCGGGTTACTCACAGGAGCTGGGGGACTGGAAGTCCTCCAGTGCCCCCCCAGGTCTACTCAGCTTTCAAAGTGTGGCTGGGTTACCAAACATCCAGCTTGACTCATGGTGCACGCCACCACCTGTTCAGCGGTGGTGATAATCTCTATTCGTTATTTCCGATTACTGAAAGCTGGGGAGGTATTGTATCCTGGAGAAGTCCTCTCATTAGGGGGTCTCGAAAGCTGATAAGCGTATAAACTGGCAGCCACAGGATGAGGGCTCGGTACTTACACTGAAGTCCGTTACCCTACAAAATGGCACCCCTGTGAGAAAGGCCCCTTTTGTGAACAGCCAGATATTAAGTTTGCCCTTTGAGTTTAATGTTACGTTTGCCCTAATATTAAGTCTACCCTTTAAGTAGCCCAGTACCTGTGCTACTTAAGAGATAGGCAGGGAAGGTCCCCTAAGGTTCTCAAAAACCCGTCCCCACCTCCTCTCTTGCAACTGGGGCTGTTTTCCGAGTTCCAACTCTACTTCTCAACAGTTTCATAATTTAGCACACGACGTTCTGTGTGTGTGAAGTACCTCTTCCCTCCTCTGAGTGCCAAGTATCCCGCACCCCCTGCGCATCACTGTTGGACACACAGTAACAGCTCTCCTTTCACGAGAGGTATCCCTCTGGAGCCAGGGTTGCGGGTTCACTTGCCAGACCCTCTGCACTTGGACTCCCTAACGATACCGATCTTCAGGAAACCCCATGCTTTCACGACACCAAAACAACTACAGAGAAAAGGCTGACCTGAAATGCACAAGGGGTGTTGTCCACGCAGTAGACCCTCAAGTTGTAGTCCAGAGAGTTACAGGACATGCAGCCAAAGACGGCCACCTTGAGCTGCTTCACGGCGCAGTCTGTGATTGGTTCTCCAGTGAGGGCGTATGTCCCGAAGCTGTCTAAGAGCACGTGACATGCAAAGGGGTCCAAGAGGCAGTAACAGGACGTGGATTCATCCTCCACTGACATTACTTCCTGTTGGGAAAAGGTCTGTTGAATTCTCTCAGCTTGGAAGTAAAACATGATTTAACAGTTACTTTGCAAGGGCATAAACACAATTTTTTTTTTCAGAATATTTTTATTGTCCTAATTTTCTTGGTGTTAAATGTTCTCCTATCAAAATAACTGCTACTTCAGGAACTCAAGTCAGGGTTACATTCAGTGCGTTGGGATTCAATTTAGCAGGTCATAACAAACGTCACTTTCAAAGTTCTCCAATTTTTGGTTAATTTGTTCACAGCTGAATTAAAAGGAAGTAATAAGAGCCCTGAACATTAACAGCAATGAGTTAACTTTTATGTTTTTATAAAGGTCTCTGAAAACTTCTTTCAGTATCCTTAAGGTAATATTTACTTTCTTTCAAGTATTTTATCTTTCATTCCATTGCAATCATTCACGAGGGACTGTTACATCTTATCCAAACCATTTACTTATCAGACGATCAGACAAATCACCCTCCCTGATAAGAACTTCGGTGTGTGACTGGTTAGGTAGAGCGTAAATATAACACCATCTGGATGTGAAAGATTGTGAGAAGGCGCTGGGAGTTTTACTTTAGAAAACTAAAGCAAAAACCAAGGCAACTCAGGACATCACGGAAAAGAGGCCCAAACCGGGGCCTTTTATGAAACTTCACCCCCGGGAAATTTGCCTGAGGGCGAACCCCGACTGGATAAACAGCAGGATGCACTTTCAACAAAGAACACAGACTAGTTTCCAGACATAGCTGGGCAGGGTAAATGCAATCCACGGAAGCAACTGGGGGTTTTCTTCCCTAAAGAAACACGATTTTCCTTTTACTTCTTTTGCCCGAAGCACCTCCTGGGAGGTGGGAGCCCAGGGCTAGCTGGAACAGGTCATTGTGTTCCAGCAAGATAATTCACCTGCTTTCATGCAAGCTGGTCTCAGGCAGACATGAAAGGACTCCCTATCAGACAGCTAAATCAGAGGTTTCACTTAAAATAGTAATTCCACTGCCGTCTCTCTTTGCTGTGACTGTCTTCCTTACTCTCCTCTCAGATTCTCAATTTTTTTGGGGGGGTCTCTTTTATTCTCTCCTTGTACAATTTCTCTCTTATATGCCCTCATAAACACAATCAGAATGATTTTCAATGCCTCCATTAATTCACCAACATATACTCAGCACCTGCTGGTTCCTGAATACTTAAACATAGATTCATTATAATTCCTATGATGGCAAAAACAGGTAACAGTAATTTCTTCTTCTGAACACAGCCTGCTTGCCCTGGGCCCCCTCTCTAACCCCACAGAGGAAAGTCAATTCAGACGGGGACGTGGCCCAGGAATACAGGCAGGAATCGAAGTCGATGTACCAAAGGCAGGTACACGAGGCTACATGTCCACGTGGGTAACTGAATTGTACTCTAAAACCAAATGAGAAAGCTCTGTATCCTCTCTGGCCTCTCTTATCTATTATCTCTCTCACACACACAAACCCAACACACTAGCCAGTACTTCAAGGACGCTGTAAAAACACATGCCACCGACCCTCTGAGAAATAAGTAAATGCTCACCAATTTCACAGCTGACTTGTTGTCTGAAGAGGGTGAGGGCCCATCCCACAGATGGCACCGAAATCCCCTCTTCCTTTTTCTTTTGCAAAGGAAGACTAGGCTCTCACCTCCCACTTGCCCTGCTGGGTCCTCTTCTTTAAGTGGACATTCCAGTGCTCAGAACTGACATCCGCACAGTGCGGTATGGTCAGGGCAAAAGGAGTGGTGACAGTCATGTCTGGGGGACCGCAGGTGACTTCCGGACTCAGGAGCACCTCGGATCCATCCGACTGGAGGCTGTACGGTTACAAAAGGAGAAAAGAGATGCGTGTCAAGGAGGGGGGCATGTCTGAATGAGAACTTAGTTTCAGGTTTAGTGAAGGCCTTTCCCAGGATGCCCCTCCAGGGAGCACCGCCTCCTATGAGAGGGCTGGTCCGGACCACAGCCATCCATCCCGAACCCTGCACCGTTCAACCACACAGACTGAGGCTAAGCCTAGAATTCAAATCTCAGTTTTGAAAAACAAAATGACAAATGCTTCTTCAGAAATACAGGGCAGAACAGGAGAAAGCGAAGACCTGGCTGGAGTGTCGCACACCAGCTACTGATAATATCAGTGACCAAAGCCAAGAACTTCATGGAAATGATGGATCTGGTGACCTTACCACCATGTTCCTTTCTTCCAAAGACGCATTCTACAAATATGCTTAATGCAATGGAACAAATTATTATGGAACAAAGCAACACTTCAAATGTACCTGGATTGAGTATGTCTCTTCTGGTTTTGAAAATATTTATTTTCTGCCAGCACACCAAGTATGCAGGTTATACAGTGACAGCACAGTAGACAGTTTTAAACTGCATAGTCAAATACATAAATACATATCTTTCATCTTTCCTATTTTAGATCTAAATTCAAAATCATTCTACCTGAACCTGCTGTTCACATTTTTCTCTATTGTGAATAATTTACAATGGGAATTCAGAGCCATGAAACAGATAAAAGAAAGAAATTTGACTAAAGGGAAATAATATCACTTTACTGAGCACCTGCCTCCCTCTTCCATTTTTGGGTCTTTTGTTTTTCGGGGTTGTTTTTTTTAATTGAAGTATAGTTGATTTACAGTGTTGTGTTAATGTCTGGTGTACAGCACAGTGATTCACTTACACATAAATATATTCCTTTTCATATTCTTTTTTCATTACAGGCTATTACAAGGTATTGATATAGTTCCCTGTGCTGTACAGTAGACCTTGTTGTTTATCTATTTCGTACATAGTGGTTAGTATTTCTACAAATCTCCAATTCCCAATTTATCCTTCCCCACCCCCTTTCCTCCTGTTTTTGTTTTTAATCTCTGCCTCCAAATAGTACGATGGGGTAAGTTTATAGGACAACAATCAGTAAGAATCCAGAAGCCTACTCATTTTCCCCAACTGCTTATGTGTTTTTGAACAAACTAGTCTATTTTTTTCCTGTGTTTTCTCTTGTGAGCAATATAATGATACAAAATGTCATCAATTCAGCAATTTAGGACTCTCAGATGAACTACCTACAGGGGAGCAAGGATTGGTGTTATTCCCTAAGCTTTCTCTCATCTGACCCAGGAAGGACATTTAAATGTGTCATCGCTGGTCAGAACAGCAACCCTTTGAGCAAGATGAAATTAGTGCTAAAAGATACGACCTTTTCTGTGATCTTGTGTAAACAGTTTCTCTTTGTGGACATGTAACATGTTACTAGTTTCTGAATTGCTGTTGTTGACATGGCTTGTTCTCCCTCAGCTTGGCCATGGTCACACTCTAGCTCTTTCTCTATAATTTGCTGCTGCAATAAAAGTCAGGACACACAAACTCAAAGGAACATCTTTTAACTGCTGTGCTTAAAACAGACCTGAACATTATCCCACCGTCCTTCCTCCCTCCCCAAGAAGCACTGGAGCTGCCTTTTGAAAATTCAGCCTTCCATGTAGGCAACCCTAGTCCAAAATTAATTCCTCCGAAACAAGCAAAGCACAGACGAAACGGAAAATGTCTTCTATGCGTTTATGTCCCTAAGCAGGGCAGGCAAGTCGGGAGGGGGTGGGTCTGGAGAGCCGTGTATTAGCAATAACAAATGCTCCATGAACAGCCCCCAATGAGGTACTTGAGGTTTGAGAAAAGAATGTGCAATTCCAGCACGAGCTCTAAGCAGCCCGTGGTGGCAGCTTGCGCGTGGCCGCCTGCCAGGGGCCGTCGGCCAGGGCGGAGCGCGCTGTGTGATCACTGCCTGCATTCATCACTGATGGGGAGAGCAGGGGTGCTTACGAGTGACCGATGACAAGCTCTCCTAAAAGAACTATTTAATTGCTTTCAGAGAATCAGCCCCCTTGTTGAACATACTGTTCAAACATATGGGAATTGGGGGAATTATTTAATGCCAAACGAACTGAAGGCAGCTAATTACATGAACTCTCATACGCATTGTGAAGAGCAGGGCTCCTGTCGGTAGTAACTGAAACAGCTCTAGGAGTCCGAGACGGTGCCCTGGAAACGCAGGCGGGGCACCGGCTGGGACCTGGGCATTCCTGTAAGTGCAAAGGAAGCCAGCCAAGACACATCGAGTCCTCCTCCTGGGAAAGTAGTGTCCGTGGGTGGGTGCAGGTCTCTCTCTGGCGAAGGGGCAAAACCTAATCTCTCCATTGTCTTTCCCCATGATTAATAATAATTTGCCCTTTTCTGCCACCTTCTATCTGTGGCAATCAGGGAGATTTACAAATATTAATTAAAGTTCTTCACACACCTGTGTGGGCAGGTGTTAACAAAAGGTCACAGAGAAAGTCAAAGAGATGGTGGCCAAATGCACCCCCAAGACTTCCAGACTCCTGCTCCCTGTGACCAGAGGTCCTCTGCTCTGCTACCACTAGGCCATTTCTGGTCAAATTGCTGGCTCTTGTGACATCCCAAGTACAGATGGAAGGAAAACGTAGCCATGGTACTGACCTAGGACATCTGGGGACAAGAGGGCTGGGGAGGGAAGCCTTTAACTGGACTTGGGTAAAAACAAAGATGTGTCAGCAAAGCATGGATGGCATTTCAGTTTGCCCACATTATATAATATATACCAAGGAAGTGTTCATGCCCTTGCTACGGGTAGAAAAAAAAAGGCAACACATTTTTGTAAAATTGCTACAGGCTAATAAAAACTGAACTGATAGCAACAGTGATTTTAGGGCTGTAATATGAACAGTCTCAGTGCATCGCATACTCTCGCGGATGAGAAGTCTGGTTGCGTGGGTCTTCTGTTGTT